TGTGTCTTAACAAAAAATATTCATTGCATAATTTTACTATATATTATAACTCTTTCTAATTTAAATATAGATTTTTGGTTTATACAAAAGTTAATTCAATTATAAATATATGCAGATAATTTCCTCTATATTCTAATACTGTTATCAAATATCAAATGCGAATAAAAAAAGACTTGACTAAATAAAAAACTTCAGGTTGGGTTCGGGTCAGGTTAATACTCAACCCAAATCCGACCTGAACCAAACCTGAAACTTTCAGATCAAAATTTTCTAACCCAAACCTGACCCAACCTGAAATTTCAGGTCGGGTTTCGAGTTGGCTCAACCCGATTCAGAGCACTATCTATTATTCATATGTATTAATAACAGTATTTTTTTTTTTTACATATTTAGATCTGCCCTGAAGTAATATGCTTAGTTTCCTTATTATGATTTAAGCCAAAAATATTAATTTTTATACATTTAAGAAGAAATCTGTTGTGATGATGATCATTATTGTAACAGGGTAACTATAATACTATATTATTAATTTGTTAATACAATCAATATTATTTAGCCCCGTTGGTGTATTATTATATTAAAATATTATATTTAGGACTATTCTGCTTGTTGTGGTAATGGATGTATACCTCAAGTAATTGTCTGGAGTGTAGCGGAGGACTCTAATAGTCTATGCATAGTGATACAAAAGTTATGTTATTGACGCATCCTATAGTAAAACATCAAGAACGTAATTCTGAATTTTCTGTCTGTCCATGCACGTGATATATAATATATGATTTATATATACGATCTACATATATACTACATAATGATATATCTGAATATACAGATTATCTTTCAAATATATAATTGAATCATGCTTGCCTGTACAACCTTAGTTAAAAAGTAATACAAGTGCTATGTGAAAATAATACAGTAACAAGTAAATTTAATTTCATCGTTGAGAAGTATAATTTAATATAACGTATATTCAAGTTTACTTTTGAAATATGTTTTAACAAACCTGATTTATTAAAATAGCTTTTTAATTTAAAAAAACAGCTTCAAATGCATTGAGTGAGTCAAATAACAGAAAAATGCTTTTTAAATAAGAAAAAACTTATTTTTTTTGTTTTTGATACCATTTATTAAAACTATTATTAATATTAGTTCATTAGTTCTTTTGAATTCTTCTTTTAGGATATTATAGAAATCAACTGTCTTTCTTCAGCTTTCCTCTCTTGGATCCTTTTACATTTTTTTATACATTGGAGTCTTTCAAAACTAAAAGTTTTGAAGATTAGATCACTTAGTAAGCAAACTCTAGATACTGCTACAAACGAGAAACCTGCTGCAAATTCTTTAAAGTCAAGGTTTATTACAGTCTTTGGAAGCATGAGACCTTGGCTTTTATAAACTGTTACAGCCCATACAAGACAAACAGGTATTTGTAATCATAAGTACATTATTCTACTTTTATTTTCCCAGAAACATCTAATAGATGCAATTGGAACTACTTTAACGCCTTCTAAGATCATAATTATGGGTCTTCAATAATTATCAAATGAGATGAAAATGGCTACAGGAAGGGAAGATGGTCCTTCTTTATTATACAAAATACTGTGAACAGTTTCAATTACACCATTCACTAACCCTACTTCAGTCCATAAGTTTGCTGTTAGTATAACATGTACGCCTTTTATAAATAACAATTGAGTTTTCAAACCCATTGCTTCATCAGAGTCTGCTTGCTTAGCATCAGGCATACTACTATATACTGCGAGTATTTTAGCAACAGGATGGTTCAGAAAGACAAGTTTATCTAAATTTACTTTGTCAACCTCAGACCATGTAAGTAAAATAAAAGTAGCTCTTGAAAACTGATTTCTTTCTATTTCAGTTATCTTGTCTTCAAAGCACAAAGTAAGAGTTTCCCAATCTGGAATTATGGATTCACTATCCTGCAACTGTAATAGAATATTACTGAACATTCATTGGTCATCAGAATTTCTGGATTGATGCTCAATTACATCAAGTTTATACATCTCTTTAAATTGCTTGTATACCAGAAGACCATCATTAGACAGTGGGTCTTGTGATATATTGATCGCGTATATAGGAAGATCTAGGACAGGTGGAATTTGACCAAAATCACCAAACATGATAATAGATCATCCACCAAATGGTTCGTTTTTATATTCCAGAAAAGCCTATCATAGTCGTATGTCAATTAAGGCTAACATTCGGCGTCCAATCATACTTTTCTCATCTATAATAAAGTAGTTCACATTCTGTAACTTTTCTTGCAATTGACTCAATCTATTACCATTTATATCAATGTTTTTAGTATTTATAGGTATGGAAAGTGCAGAGTATATGGTTAGGCCATTAATATTAAATGCTACAACTCTTGTTGGAGCTAACACAATCACTGGTGATTTAACAGTGGCTCCTGCCATCATAGTAAGTCAATGTTGAAGTGCTTTGATAAGATACAATTTTTCAATACCCACAGTTTCCATTATGATCATTCTTAAGGGCTCAATTTTATTTCCTTCAAGAATGTTGTAGTAATGTGATTCTACTTGATTAATAACTTTTTTTTGATTTTTGTTTAAAGTTTTGAGATTAATAGTTTCTAAGTCTTTATGATTTAATGTTCTAGAACTACTGGAAGCTTGACATAAAAAATTACTAGCATCCATGGTATCTATGTTTGAATAGTTACACCTACTTTCACTAATCCAATCATAAGTTATATCTATACTATGAGATCCAATAGTGGATGAATTATTAATAGTTGTATTTGGGCCCATCTCTGCCAAAAGCATTCAGTCAAATCGGTAAGCTTCATATTCATCATCATATACCTGTTCATCATCATTATCGTCATCAATATAACTTTCTTCATTATCTACAGCAGGGCCAAGCAAATCAATTGAGTCAGAATTGATTTCACCAATATAGCGTTCATATAAAGCACTCTATGATATTGTGTCATTTTCTGTTAATTGATGAAGATCTTGATAATGAATATGAAGGAGAACCTTTATATAACAAAATTCTTCTAACTAAGGACCATTTCGCAGAGGTGATAGTTATGGTCAGACACGTACTATATTTTCATGTCGCATTTTTTCCAGCAATTGTTAGTAAATTTGTTTGTTAAATTAAAATGATATAATGTTAAATTTTCTAATTCTGCAGACCTATCTTAATAGATTTTTAAAGGTGATTTTGTTGTTACCCTAGCATTGCTAACTATAGTAGATTCAGTTTCTTCCCTACTGCCAGTCCCACAAAGCCATCTAGGTGCTTTTTTGTTAAGATTCAGAGAAATAAATGAATGGCTTGAATGATATAGTGATATACCTATAAGAAGATGACAAGTTTCTTGAGCTAAGATGTTATGTTCTGCAATGCTATGTAACAACAATTTTTGAACTAGTGCAAGTATCGGATCATTTGATCTGCTATCTCGAAGTATATAGTTTAAAATTTCTAAAAATGCAGTACATCGTGGTTCTGCCTTACTTGTATACTTAGCAATATATTGCAAGGCTGCATAAATGCTAAGTACTGGCTTCAAATCCACATTTGCTCTCCATTCTTGCAATTGAAGTTGACTTTGTGAATTGATATATGGGTCATTTCTTGCAGTAATGAGTTCTGATTAACTACAATTATCATCACATAAAAAAGTAAATTCACTATTTTTTTTAGGATAATCATATCTACAAAACTGCTACCCAACTCTGTTCGTTCGAAGGCAATATAAAGAGCTACACTGTGTGTGTCTCTGTACTTTATTAATTAGGTCGACATAGTTTTGTAAGTCATCATTAATCTCATGATATCTTTTTTGGTATGGATGATGGGTAGGTACTGACGAATTAAGCCCTAGGTTTATTGTAGTGATCAAATTGTTTAAATATTGCACCATTTCATTCATTATATTCTTATTTTCTTTTATTTGTGTCCAGTTAATTGCGGGTGTGTTGCATTTTTTTTTAATTCCATGAATATGTACACTACTGCGATGCTGCCATTCAAATATATACCACCAATTATCTAGCTCCTATTGTTGTTTAAGTACATTTTTAAAAAAAATATCAAATCGTTTATTAAAGAACCAAGAAGCAATATGAGGATTATTGATTATGTTTTGATAATATTGCCTAGACGATTCTACCTCTTCATAATTTCCACTTGATCTTATAAGGTCATGAAGCTCTGGCCAATGTAAATCAGTAGTGCTAAATGTAAAAAATATTAATTCTTGTGGCTCTATCTGTTTGATCATATCTGTTGATTCACAACATTATGCTGTCCAAAACTGCCTAGATCCTCATAAGCCCTCTCTGTATCATATAATTTGATTGAACATATAAGTATTACCTTCTAAAATCATATCTAATATCTGCAACAGTGAGTTGTTCATCATTCAAGTTTTGTCTAATGTATATACTTCCCTCTTGTGTGCTCTCCATCTCAATTGAGTATTAAGCACAAAATATCGCTAACGGTTATGATGTGCAAATCTTCCATCTTTATACCATAGTAAATGTTTAAAATATTCTGCTAATTTGACTTCTTTAACAAAAATCTGCATATTCAGTCAGATACAATGTTGGAAACACTTGTGCAATGTAACCTTGAGTCTAAAATTTGTTAACTGGCCTATTGTCAATTTTTGGCTATGCTATAAGAGAATTACTTGATTGTAATCAATCAAGTGTACTATCAATTGCAACTTTCTCGCTATCAGCTGAAGGAAGAAAAGGTACAAAAGTGTGACTAACTATGCCATCATCATTTGTATTGTCTAAATTATAATCACTCTGAATCTGTGGAAACTGGCTATCAATATAATTATCTTCCAGCAATAATTGAAGAATTTTGTTATCTATGATAATGTCGGAATAGTATCAATTATTTTCTTTTAGCCAGTGTAAGGCACAGGTCACTTTAGGATGTCAGACATGAAAGTCTCTAAATGTTTCAGAATGATTTGCTAATTGATAATATACAATAAGCAGATTTAATGATAATGGATGTCAAGGAAGATGTGTTGTAAATTCTTGTACATTCTGAGAGAAGTTGATTATGTTGCCACAGTATCCATATTGACCTCCATGAAGTTGATATACAGACATTACGATAAAGACTTGTGATATCAACATTTCTTCAACTTTTGTAAGGCCTTGAAGTTCATCAGAAACATCTCTCAGATTCATGTTGTTCGTTGCAGAAAACTTGTGCAGCATGTTTTTTTTAGCACTACAATGGCAACAGTTTCCCAGTACAAGCACAATATCAGGAAAGCTTTATTATACACTGGGCAAAGTTTAAATCTAATATCATCCATCTTATTACGAAATTTGTTCAGAAGCTCTTGGTTTATTTCACTCATGTTGCTTGTTGATTGAGGACTAACATCTTCAGTTTCGATTTGTTCTAAACTTTGTTGCATAATAGTACAATTGTTTCGATTTTCTTCTAACTCACTGCAATTCTTATTTTTTTCTATCATTATTCATAGTCACTTTCATTTTCGGTCTTGCACAAGTTGTTCTTCACGTTTTTCAGCTATTTCAGTAGCTCTTTTTTTCTCATTTTTGTTCACGCTCACGAACCAAACGTACTTCTTTTTGTTTAGATGTTTCATTTTCTCTGGCCTTCCGTTTTCGAAGTTTATCCTGATTCTTAAATTCAGAGAATTTGTTTATAAAAGTAAATAAACTTAAAACTCTAATAACATGCTTCCTTTAGCAGTACTCATATATTATAAATATGCATGCATGAATTTTGTTGCATTAGAGTTTAAATTT